ATTTTCCTTTATATTCAGTTTAACACTTTTTTAATAAGCTGTATAGAAAGTGTGTTTTACTTTTCCTAGTTGGTCTCCTATTAGCACTTTTAGTATTAATAGGTATAGTATAAATAAGGGTTTTCCCCTCATTCTGTAAACACTTTTTCATTCTTCGAACCCTAATACATATGCGCAGTTTTCTTCTTCATTGTTCATCGATTCTCTCTTTTGTTCATATCACTATCTGAAGATCTATAGATCTGATAACAGCCTTCGCACTCCTTATCGTCGACGGGAAATGAGGCGGTGCCGAGCGGTGACGGCTTCGGGTGGAACCGCTTGCCGTTGGACACCTTAAACAAGATCTCCATAATTTTGGAGAAGACTTAATCAAGAATCTAATCTTTGAGATTCAATTTACTGGAGATATGGGCACATGATTTTGTTGAGGAAGATGGTGGTTTATGAGATAAATCTTTTGAGCATATCTACATACTTATAAAAAGGTTTGGTATTTACTCGCCAAAAATTTCGTTTTTACTTTTATTAGTAATTATTTTTGAAAAGGTTTGAAAAAATGGCGGTCTTTTGTTAAATTTAAATTAAAAATCGAATCAATATTGAATTGAATTCAAATGGTGAACAATTGGGGGCGGCATGTATTCCATATGTCCGAGATTTTTGTGAGATGGGTCCAATATTGTTGTTGTATAACCAAGGAAAGAAAATAAATATATTTAACTACTCTACATAATAACTAGTGCGTATCCCATGCGATGCACGAGTAAACAATATGACTTCCATAGCACGTAAAATTATATTATCACACGCGCATAATAAATCTACATCTTAAGTTTATACTTTGTGTTTTTTAATGGAATAACATCCTTCATTTTAGGGAGCATATGTATTTAATATGTCCATATCTACATATCGGCAATTTAAATTTTGTATTTGAAGATAACACGAATCTATGATTGCAAGATATCGTATAATAATTAAACCAACCGCAACTTTAGGATTTGGTATTTTAAAATTTAGAAAAAATAAAATCATTAATTTAGGGGATATATGTGATAAATCTATCTAAATCTTGTATACATCATGTTTTACAATTAAAAAAATTTAAACATGGAGATAAAGATATTTTGAATCTCTAATTTAAACAAAGACCGTAAAAAATTGATTTGGTATTTTGAAATTTAAAAAACGAAATCATTAATTTAGAGGATGATATGTGATAAATCTATCTAAATATTGTATACATCACGTTTTACAATCAAAGCAATTCAAATATGGAGATTATTCTTTTTTTGAATTTCTCATTTAAACAATGACCATAAAAATCTTGATCGTTTCAAAATTAGAGCCGTGTATTATTTTTCACTATAAATAATTGTCAAACAAAATAATTGAATCAACCGCAACTTTATTTTTTTAATTGAAACTACTCGATTTGATGGTTAGGAAAAATGATTTCAAAAGAGATAAACAAATGATTTTTTTTTTAAATATTTTTACCCTTAAATGAGCCGTAATTTATTATTATTTTTTTTAAAACCTGCTAATCAAAACATATGTATTAGGCTATCAGCCGATTATATAGAAAAAAAAGTTTTTGATATTTTTAAATTACAAAAATATATTTTTATGGTTAGAAAAAATAGCACGTAATTTTTTTATTATTAAATCAGTTGTAATTTTCTTGTTATAAAAAAGATACCAAACAAAGCAATTGTATTAATCGAATATTTGGTTTTAGATTTAAAGAATATAATTAGCCGATGTTTAATCGAATTAGCAGTCTTGACGTACATTTATATTCAAATTTAAAATTAGCTTTTTGTAACCAATAGCCAAATTTAATTGATGCAGCCCGTGCATTATTAGCTTTTGATATGCACATCGTGTCAAACCATCACAAATATTCAATACACCAAATTTAAATAGCAGCCAAACTTTTTTGAAAATAAAGTAACAAACTCCTCATTTTAAGGACAACATCTAATGTTGTCCGTTTTTATTAAAAAAATATTAAAAAGATACTACAAGTGACACATAATTAATGTTGACCAGTTTTGACCAAGGATTAACTTACTATTTTTGTTAAATGGTAATTCTTATATATATATATATAGAGATATAGATGCAGATGTCAGAGACGACACCGAAGGGGATTTCCATTATTTGCTTGTTGGTGTTTTGATATTTGGAAAATGTGTTTTTTTTAGTTGCGCTAAAGGTGATATTCTCGATTGAGGTTGTTGATATTTATAGATTGTATATTCAAAATTCGGATGATAAAAATGTGAAACCGGTTCTTAAGGAAAAAAAAAAGTAAAAAAATAGTATAACAAAAATTGAACTCGGCCCTATCTAAAAATAGTGTAACAAAAAGTAAACAAAATAGTGTAAAAAGTTCTATCTAAAATTTGATTTTTTTCCCAAAAACTGAAGACGGCCCTTTTTTTTTTGTTTGCCTATGTAATGTAACAAACTGATATGATCTGCATTAAATAATTGTCCTTGAAGTACTAAGTAAAAAAAAAATTGCCATTAATGGAAACTAATAAATGTTGTCTGAATTTGACCAAAGAGATTGACATGCTATTTTTAAAAAATGATAAATCTTTTTATATAGATATAGATAGATATAATTTTGGTAAGATTTGTGAGCCAAATTTGAACTGATTTATTTTGCATGCAAAATACTTTAATTAAAGAAAGGATACGTATGATTTTCATGCAAAATACTTTAGTTAAAGAAAGGATATGCATGGTTTATTTGATATTCACATTTAATAAAACTGTGTGATAATTGAAAATGTGTGTTGTGTGAATATTGAGACCATGTAAATATTGGATAGTTGGTGAGTCCTTAGAATTTAAATAAATAAAATATTCCTTCAATTAAAGCTATTTTTAAACATAAATTTTTACATACATGACCAAAAACTCCATTGACGAATCAAGCAATTATACAATATGATTTGATATATCTGACATAATTTTAAAATTGGTCATATAATTTGACCACTTTCCAAAAAAACCACCCGATATTGGCCATTTTCAAATTTGGTCATATAATTTGACATTTTAATCAAATTTGTCTTTTTTATCCGGAACATGGATTAAAATGTAATTAAAAAAGGACCAAAATTGATTAAAAAGGAACCAAATTTGATTAAAATATCAAATTATAGGACCAAATTTGAAAGTGGTCAATATCGGGGTGATTTTTTAGAAAGAGGGCCAATTATAGGACCAATTTTAAAATTATGCCTGATATATCTTACTGGCAGAAAATAAGAAGACACCTTGAAGGTTGGGACATGCTATCTACATACAGTTTACTCTCGATTTTTTCAATCACAATTTTCCCATTTTTTCTTACTGATAAGGGAAAAAATATACATTTATTATACGACACGTGGCTCGAGAGGATGAAGACATGTGTGATCCGAGGACTGTTAGAGTCCAGGATTAAGGCCGAAGTCCAACTCCAATTCAGGCCTAAGGTCCCAAAGAGCTTTACTCTGGGCCCAATGTCCTGAGGAGAATTACTATAAGCCCAAGGTCTAGAGGAGCTTTGCTTTGGGCCAAAGTCTGAGGTCAGCCCACGAAGCTTATGGGCCAGGGAGTCCTCCGTCTGCGGAAGGAAGAACTAGGTCGTCTGACTCCTATAAAAGGATGACCTAGGTCAAGGTAAGACACATTCTGAACACTCCAAACTCTCTCTTCTATTCATTCCGCAGCCACCACCTCAGAAAACCTAAAACCTATTCTAACTTAAGCATCGGAGGATCTACCCCTGGGGACGACCCCGGGGTTCTGTTTTGCAGGCGTTAGAGCAAAGGAGACGAGTCCAGGAAGACGTCGGAGCATACATCAACCGCCGCCACGTGTTCTATGACTAACGTCAGGTAAATCTTGTATCATCAATTGGCGCCGTCTGTGGGGATCGGCGACTTAGGAAGAGGATTCATGGTGATACGGAAGAAAGGTGAAACCAGTCGAAGGACGCGAGGCGTTTCACAACATGATCAATCCCAAGAAAGTGAATCAAACTCTCAGGCTAACCATAGCCAAGGCCAAAGTTCACAAAATCCGGCGACCTCGGAGACCGAGGTCGAACGACTGCAGAGGGTGGAAAAAGAACTCCTTGAACTGAAGACCCTGATGAAGGGTATGATGGAAAAAGAAGCATCCCTAGGTCGAAAAGACCGAGAAGCCAGCCATGACGAAGGTTCTAAAGCCCCCAACGATGAAACCGAGGTCAGATCCAAGAGAGACCTCGGGAGAAAAAATTTCACACCTGAGGATGGCGAGCTTAAGCAAAAGCTTGAGGAAATTAATGAAAGGCTCGGAGTGGTGTGGAAAGAAGTCAGAAAGCCGACGTCGGATATTTTCTCACCCATCGAGTCTCCTTTTGTTGATAGCATCATGAAAGAGGAAATCCCCTCTAGCTTCAAGATGCCTCAGATGGAGAATTATGATGAAACTTCGGACCCCCGGGACCACCTTGAGAATTTCCAAGCTCTCATGATGCTTCATGGGGAGACCGACGCCATCAAATGCCGAGCGTTCTCAGCCACGCTGAGAAAGAGTGCCAGAATTTGGTTCTCCTCGCTGCCAGCAGCCTCTATCTATACTTTCAAACAATTGGCACAAGAATTCCTCAACCACTTTGTTAGCAGCAAACGGTACAAGAAAGCTTCGGCCCACCTTATGGGCGTTCGTCAGAGGTCGAATGAGACGTTGAGGGAGTTTATCCAACATTTCAATGGAGAGGCACTAGAGATTGAGGACTTGGACCAGTCTGTGGCCTTAGCCGCACTCATGAATGGGGTCCGAAAGTCTTCAAGGTTTGCTTTCTCTTTGGCGAAAAAGCCACCGCTATCCCTCTCTGATCTCTTCAGTAGGGCCGAAAAGTACATCAACGCTGAGGATATGTCCATAGTGGAGGATGAGCGTGAGACCTCTGAAAGAAAGAGGACAAGGGACCCTGGTGACGATAATGGCGGAAAGAGGAAAAAAGTATGGGATAGGCTGTCTGTCACGACCAACTCATCGAAGGATCGGTCCAATCTCCCGAGGTTTGAAAGGTATACTCCTTTGCGTGCTTCAAAGAATGAAATCTTGATGTATATTCGAGATAAGGACTATGTCAGGTGGCCAACCAAGATGAGAACACCTGCGAACAAAAAAAGTCGGGATAAGTATTATCGTTTCCACAGAGACCATGATCACGATACTGAGGACTGTGAGACCCTAAAAAACGAGATTGAGGACTTGATACACAGAGGATACCTTAAGAAATTTGTGGGAAAAGACAGAAGCAGCCCTCAACCCCGGCGAAGCCGCTCAAAAGATCGAAGTCGTAGTCCTAGGAGGGGTAATCCTAGGGCCCGAAGTACGAGGAGGGACAACACTCAAGTTGCTGGGGTCATAGCCATCATCGCTGGAGGACCATCAGGTGGAGAAAGCAATTCTGCTCGCAAAGCATATGCAAGGCAACCTAGAACAAGCGAGCCGCAAGAGAAAAAGGCTCGTAGGGAGACACAAATAACCTTTACCGAGGAAGACACGGTAACATTCTAACTCCTCATGATGATCCCATGGTCGTTACGCTTACGATTGGGAATTACGGGGTCAAAAGGGTGTTGGTGGATAGTGGCAGCTCGGCTGATATCATATTCTACGATGCATTCGAGAAGATAAAAATTGGTCGCGAACGACTGAGGCCAGTCAAAACTCCACTCATGGGGTTCACAGGTGAAACTGTGGAGCCAGAGGGAATTATAACTCTCCTGTTAACTGCAGGCGACTCACCCCAGCAGACCACGGTTATGATGGATTTCTTAGTTGTGAAGGTCCCCTCCAGTTACAATGTCATCCTTGGACAACCAGGGTTAAACAAAATGAAGGCCATAGTCTCTACATATCACATGCTTATGAAGTTCCCGACCGAGAATGGCATCGGGAAAGTTCATGGAGACCAAGAGGTAGCCAGACAGTGTTATGTGGCCTCACTCAAAGGTAAAAGAAAGAACTCGGAGGCTCTGACCATAGAGAGCTTGTATCCGGAGGACGAGGTTAAGAAAGCAGGAGAGCCAGTAGAGACCTTAGTCTCAATTGAGCTTTATGAAGGGGACATTGATAAGGTTGTGCGAATTGGGTCCTCATTGCCCGAGGACTTTAAGACAAAGCTTGTCCAATTCTTGAGACAAAATGCCGAAGTCTTTGCTTGGAGTCCATCTGACATGCCGGGAATTGACCCTGAGGTCATAGTCCACCGACTAAATGTGGACCCTAGCTTTAAGCCGGTTCAACAGAAGAAAAGGAGTTTTGCCCCGGATAGGATCCAAGCAATCAACGGAGAGGTGAACAAACTCTTAGATACTGATTACATAAGGGAGATAGACTATCCCGAATGGTTGTCCAACGTTGTCTTGGTTCTGAAAACAAGTGGCAATTGGAGGATGTGCGTAGACTTTACAAGTCTAAACAAGGCGTGTCCCAAGGACAGCTTTCCCCTACTGAGGATAGACCAACTGGTAGATGCCACCGCTGGATGTGAAGTCCTCAGCTTCATGGATGCATTTCAAGGATACCATTAGATAAGGATGCACCCAGGAGATGAAGCCAAAACTTCTTTTATCACCGATCAAGACCTATATTGCTACAAGGTCATGCCCTTCGGTCTGAAGAATGCGGGGGCTACATACTAGAGGCTAGTGAACAAGATCTTTAAAAACCAGATTGGTAGAAACATTGAAGTGTACGTTGGCGACATGCTAGCGAAGAATCCAAGTGCGGAGGACCACATAACTGACTTAAAGGAGACCTTCGCAGTGTTGAAGCATTACAAGATGAAGCTCAACCCCAACAAGTGCGCTTTTGGGGTGACCTCGGGAAAGTTTCTTGGATACATGGTTACACAACGAGGAATCGAGGCGAACCCAAAGAAAATCAAAGCATTGTTGGACATGAATCCTCCTAAGTCAGTGAAAGAAGTTCAGAGGCTCACAGGGAGACTAGCAGCACTTAGTAGTTTCTTGTCAAAGTCTGCAAAAAAGAGCCTACCATTTTTTAAAGTGCTAAGGAAGGCAAATATGCTCGCTTGGACAGAAGACTGTCAGAGAGCGTTCGAGGATCTAAAATCTTACTTGGGTTCTCTACCACTTTTGACAAAGCCACAACAATGAGAGGTCTTATACTTATACCTGGGAGTGTCGGATGCGGCTGTGAGCTCGGTGTTAATCCGAGAAGAAGATGGAGTCCAAATGACGATCTATTATGTGAGTCGAGTCCTAGGAGGCGCAGAGCTTCGCTATCCTAAGATCGAAAAGTTGGCATTGGCCTTGGTTATCTCAGCTCGTAAGTTGAGACTGTATTTCCAAGAACATGTGGTGGTTGTTCTCACAGACCAACCGTTGAAACAAATTCTACAGAGGCCGGAAGCATCTGGGAGGCTAGTGAAGTGGTGCGTTGAGCTTAGCGAATTTGATGTCCAGTTTCGAACAAGGACGACTATTAAGGCCCAGACCTTGGCTGATTTTGTAGTAGAGTGTACTACGGGAGAAGAGCATACTCCTCTGGTAATAGAGGTGGTGCCAAACATCAGAGATCCCGTGGAAGGATGTTGGACCTTGTATGTTGACGGGTCATCGAACCAAAATGGGAGCAGGGCTGGATTGACCTTAACCAGCCCAGAAGGTGATGTTTTTTATTATGCTCTAAGGTTCGAGTTCAAGGCCTCAAACAATGAGCCTGAATATGAGGCCCTCATAACTGGACTAAAGATGGCGTTGGAGCTGGGTGACTCGCAATTAGTCGTATGTCAAAGTCGGGGAGACTATGAGGCAAAGGATCCCATGATGGTCAGGTACCAAACTAAGGTGAAAGACTTGGTCTCTTTATTTGAGTATTGTGGGGTCCATCAAGTCGCAAGGACATAAAACACCAAGGCAGACGCATTGTCTAAGCTTTCGACATCGCCTTATCACGAACTCATCAAAACCGTACCAGTGGAGGTCCTTCCTTATCGCAACATAGAGAAAGAGCAAGTGATGAGTCTTGACCAAGGACTCAGTTGGGTTGATCCAATTGTGGACTACATCAAAGTTGGAAAGTTTCCTGTTGACCAGCCAGAGGCGAAGAAAATTATTCAACGCTCAGCCCGGTATTCGATCATAGGCAACCACTTGTACAAGAGGTCGTACAACATGCCATACCTTAGATACCTTAGGCCAGATGAGGCTAATTATGCATCAAGAGAGGTGCACGAAGGAGTCTGCGGAAATCACTTGGGGGGCAGGTCTTTAGCCCAAGTCATCATCAGACAAGGGTATTACTGGCCTACTCTAAGAGAAGACGCAATGAACTTCGTCAAGAGATGCGAAAAATGTCAAAGGCATGCGATAATCCTCCATTCTCCAGCTGTTCCCATGTCCTCGGTCTTCACCCCTTGGCCATTTTCAATATGGGGGATGGACATCTTGGGACCTTTTCCACAGGCCACTGGGCAAAGGAAGTTTCTGATTGTGGGCATTGACTATTTTACAAAATGGGTCGAAGCAGAACCTTTGGCTCATATCACTGAGAAGCAGATCCAAGGTTTCACGTGGAAGTCCATTGTGTGTCGTTTTGGAGTCCCAAAAGCACTCATCACTGACAATGGAAAGCAGTTTGATAACCAACGTTTTCGAGAGTTTTGCAAAGGTTTGTCCATAGACCTCAGGACAACCTCGGTAACATACCCTCAGTCCAACGGCCAGGCAGAGGTCACAAACAGGACTATCTTGCAAGCCTTGAAAACAAGACTTGATGAGGCTAAGGGTTTATGGGCTGATATTCTTCCAGAAGTGCTGTGGGCTTATCGTACGACTCCTCGGATGGCCACAAGAGAAAGCCCATTTAGCATGATGTTCGGATCTGAGGCGGTCATACCCGTAGGGATCGGAATCCCAAGTCCCAAGGTGGAAACCTTTGAAGTGGAGAAAAATGCAGAAGTTATGAGGTGTAACCTTGATCTGATCGAGGAGCACAGAGATCGGGCAAGGATCAGGATGGCTGCATATCAACAAAGGGTGGCCAAGTATTACAACAGTAGTGTTCGGTCACACTACTATCGACCGGGAGAGCTGGTCCTCAGGAAAGCTCAGTTCAACTACCAGGAAAGGCACAACAAGTTATCTCTAAACTGGGATGGCCCTTACCGTGTCCGAGCAGCGGTGAAGGAGGGCACTTATAAGTTGGAGGACTTAAACGGAAAGCCTATACCGAGGTCCTGGAATGTAGAACATTTGCGCAAGTACTATCAATAGTTGTTTTTGTGTTAAGTTATTTCCCCTATTTCTAGCGTAGGACTTGCAAGTTGAGACTTCGTACTCAGACCATTTCAATAAAAGTTGCATTTTGTTGTGATTTTTCGACATCGTTAGAACAAGGGTAGAATTGCAATGGACGACCATTGCCACTACCTCCAGCGATAGAATTGCAGTGGAAAACCACTGCCGCTATCAAAGTTAAAAAGGATTACAGTAGGGAACTATTGCCCCTGCTACTAGTCCTCGGTTGTAGCTTCAGAACGCTAGTCATTTGGTAGATGATTTACTGTAAGACTAGTGAAAGAGCACCCAAGGCTACAATTGGGACTACCCAGTTCTTAAAAGACAAATGAGTAAATCAAACAACGTTACATAAGCTGGGAGTTCAAAAGACCAAGGTCTATAGCCATAAAAAAAAGAGCACAAGTCCAGAAGCGACAACAAAACAAACAAAGTCCTAAAATCATCAACAATCAAATGTCTCTAGAAGCTGAGCGGTCGGCATCTTCCTCACCTGTCATGGGATCAACAGACTCGGGAACAGGACGACTGAGGTCAAAGGAAGGATCAAGGGTGCCGATGAGCTGCCTGCAGGCGTCGAACCCGTCGAGCCAATAGTC